ATCGCGGTAGTCGCAGTGGCCGGTTTGCACGTGGTGGTGGTCGCAACAGTGGTAGATCCAAGGTGCAATGTCAGATCTGTGCTAAAACTGAACACTATGCAAAGGTCTGCTAGTTGCTGGATCTGGATCTCAACAATGGCGTGCTCCAACTGTAGCTCCAATGCCAATGGCGAATTTTGCTGTGCCCTATTTTCAAGGAAATCCCTCAGTACACGTGCCTCATCAGTGGATGCCTCCCACTCAATGGCGTGGACCTGCGCAAGGCTTCATTGCCACGCCTTCTAACTCTGCATCTGGTAGCAAACAACCACAGGCTTTTCTTGCAGGCACTGATATTCAAGCTTTAGCTGGCAACAATCAGTGGTATGCAGACTCAGGAGCAACTCATCATGTCACCAACTCTGCTGAGCATTTTTTGGAAAGCATTCCTACCTCTGGCTCAGATCAAGTTATGCTTGGCAATGGTCAAGGTCTGTCAATTACCTCAGTTGGTAACAGTTCCTTCATACCTGCACACAAACCACATGTTACACTTGCCTTAAATAATCTCTTGTTAGTTCCACAAATTACCAAAAATCTGATATCTGTGAGTCAGTTGCAAGAGACAACAAGGTCATTTTTGAGTTTCATCCTAATCATTGTTATGTTAAATCCCAGGCTACTTCTGAAGTTCTACTACAAGGCACTGTTGGGAAGGATGGACTCTATACGTTTGGCAATCTCACACCAACTACCAGCCCCACCAATAAATCACACTATGTGCACACACACACCAAACCACATGTACCAACTGTCTCATTAACAACTAGTAGGAAACTTGTCTGGTATTGGATTTTCTCTGTATTCACAGTGGCATAACAGATTAGGGCATCCTCATCATGAGGTTCTCAAAACTGTTCTTACCAGTTGTAATATTCCTGTACCAATTAAATCTCAGTTTGATTTCTGTTCTGCTTGTTGTTTGGGAAAAGTGCACAGATTACCTTCACACACATCTACTACACTATACTGTGCTCCCTTTGAATTATTGTATGCAGATGTCTGGGGGCCTTCACCAGTAGCATCTGGTGCTGGAGCTAAATATATGCTCACCATTGTTGATGCCTTTACCAAATATACTTGGGTATTTTTAATGACTCAAAAATCAGAGGTAACATCTATCTTCAAGTTATTTTTGGCTCATATTACCACACAATTCAAACACACACTTAAAGCCTTACAAACTGATGGAGGTGGAGAGTTTCAACCTCTCACTTCCATTTTGACTGCACAAGGCATCACACACAGATTTACCTGTCCTCATACTCATCATCAAAATGGTGTTGTTGAGAGGAAACATAGACATGTTGTGGAAACAGGCCTCACACTGTTGGCACAAGCATCTCTACCCCTCAAATTCTGGGACTATGCTTTCCAAGCAGCAACCTTTCTCATTAACAGGATGCCCACACCTGTTTTATCAATGAAATCTCCCTACCACTTGCTTTATAATGCTGTACCTGACTACATGACACTTAGAGTTTTTGGATGTGCCTGTTTTCCCCATCTCAGACCTTACAACCCTAATAAATTTGACTTCCATTCCAATGAATGTGTTTTTCTTGGTTTTTCTCCACGTCACAAAGGTTACAAGTGTATGGCTTCTGATGGGAGGGTGTATATATCCAAGGATGTTGTGTTTAATGAATCTCGATTTCCTTATCAGCATACACTGTCCAAAGCCACAACCTCAACTCCTACTGTATCTACCTCTCCTGTCCCAGTTCCATTTTCATTTTCTACACATAGTTCACTTCCACAGTCATCTCCTTCCAATTTGCCTCAACCTGTGCCCCTTACTGCAATATCTATTACCACTCCTACACCTGTGCCACATTTATCTCCTTCCCAAACATCTTCTCAAACCTCAATATCCAACACCCTTCTTGGCTCCTCATCCACCAGTCCCTCATCAGCCTCTAGTTCTGAACACGTGTCTGTTCCCCCCATTCCTCCTCAAAACACTCACTCCATGGTAACTAGAGCAAAGGCTGGAATTGTCAAGCCAAAGATCATACATCCCACTCTGCTCTTAACTGAACTTGAACCTACATCCTATAAAATGGCTCTTAAAGATCCAAAATGGTTAGAAGCCATGACTGCAGAGTACAAAGCCTTGTTACATAATCAAACATGGATTCTCACTACCCTTCCTCCTGGCAGAAAAGCAATAGGATGCAAATGGGTTTTCAGGATCAAACAAAATCTTGATGGGTCTATCCTTAAATATAAAGCTAGGCTTGTTGCAAAGGGGTTTCATCAAATTCAGGCGTTTGATTTTCAAGAAACCTTCTCCCCTGTGGTCAAACCTGTCACAGTCAGGGTGGTGTTCTCTATTGCTCTAACTAGGAAGTGGCAAATCACTCAACTTGATGTGAACAATGCCTTCTTAAATGGTATTCTCACTGAGGAAGTCTATATGCAACAACCTCCTGGCTTTGTCCACACTGATACCAATTCAGTTTGTAAGCTAAACAAAGCTATCTATGGTTTAAAACAGGCTCTTAGGCCCTGGTTTGAGAGACTTACAGGTGCTCTCCACTCACTTGGATTTGTGACTAGCAAATGTGATCCCTCTCTATTCATTTTATCCACCTCTACATATACCATCTTTATGCTAGTATATGTAGATGACATTATTGTCACTGGCAACTCTCCTATTCACATTCAGACCCTAGTCACTAAACTTCATAACCAGTTTTCCCTCAAACAGCTGGGTGACTTAAACTATTTTCTTGGCATTGAAGTCTCTAAAACACCTCAAGGTGGTCTGTTTCTCTCTCAAACCAAATATGTGAGAGATCTCTTAGTCAATACCAACATGAGTGAAGCAAAGAGCTTGCCCACTGTTAAGTGCATATTTTACCTATTTTTGTATATAAATTTTGTTGCACTTAACGTTACTTTATGTTAAAATCGTTCAAATAAACCCCGCTTTGTTTATAAATGCGTTTACTTTACGTTATAGTGTATATATTATGTTTTCCTGTAAATATCATTGATTAATTGAATTTCATTCATTTTCCTAATGCTATGCTTGTATTTACTGAATTATCAGTTCTGTGGGTTCTGTTTTGGTAGTCTGAATTTATGGTTCAAAAATTTTTGCATTTCTTTTTTGGAGTGGGGGTGAACAATTTGTTTTGCAAATAAACACTAGTTTGGTTCAAAAACTAATTTTTTGGTGCACCGAACCAGAAAAAACATTCCAGTTCAGTTTGGGTCAAATTGTGAATGATTCGGTTTAGTTTTACTGAACTGTTTGTTTTAACAGTTTGGTTTGGTTCAGTTTGGCTTCCTTCTTAAGCCAAACCATAAACAAGCCTAATGCTATGCTTGTATATACTAATCTTGGTGTAATTTGGTATCAATAACTTACTTTAACTAAACAGTTTGTGTTTTACTGAATTAACTGAATAGTTTGTGTTTTACTGAAATTTGTTTTGGTATCAATAACTTACTTTAACTAAACAGTTTGTGTTTTACTGAATTAACTGAATAGTTTGTGTTTTACTGAAATTTGTTTTTTTAGAGAGAACCAATTGACTTAAATGTGTTTCTTAATGGTTTTATACAATGTCAATTAATTCTTCTGCTTAATTGAACTTTCATTTAATATATTTGGAAGGTATTGCTCATATTGTTAGTTTAATATTTTTCCATTTTACATATTTTGCCCAAAGAAACTTCTGATCCAAGGCATGATTATTTTCGTTTAATTCAATATTTCCATTTGCAATACATAAAGGAAGATAAAGTGTGTATAAATCCAATTATCATGGAAGCTCTATTGTAAGTAGTTATTAATTCACTTATGAAAACAACCAATATCTTTTTGTTGTAGCCATGTTTTTCTGAAACACTGTTTGGAGTCATATGTATCTGACTTAGATCATATTGGATTGTTATTATGTCTAACAAGACTCTTATACTTGTTAATGTTGCCATAGTATATACCTTTTCATTCAACCACTAAAAGGAGTCATTTCTCTTTTCTACAGCTGGAAAGATTTCACGTCGTGTTTCTGTTGTCCATTACCATGATCCTAAAGAACTTGAAAAGATTAGTACAACTGATGCAAAAAAAGCACTTCTAAATTCTATAGCCGCGACTCCTGGAAATTTTTCACGTACGTCAGCATCAAAAAGTAGTAGTAGACTAAAGAGCTCCTTATCTGAATTTTCTGAACGATCAAATACAAAAAGAAGAACCGGTGAGAACAAATCTAATGCAAGACCTCATGAATTAGCAAGTGATTTTAACTCCGTCGCATCTGCAATCTCTTCTGATCATTCTCATGGAGGAAAGTCAAACACTTCTGCAATCTCTTCTGATCATTCTCATGGAGGAAAGTCAAACGCATCTGCAATATCTTCTGATCATTCTCATGGAGGAAAGTCAAAGAGAAGTAAACATACGGAGTAATGTTTCCTTCCCGCATTAATATATGAAATTAATAGTACTTGTGCTATGTTACTTTTTCTGTATGTTTGCTTCTTTTTCATTTTTTCAACTGGTGTAACTCAGGATCATTTATTTTCACTGTTACCATTTTTGTGTAATACATGTGGTTAACGCAAATGGTCCATAGATATATCAAATAGGAGTGGAGTATTCAATGAATCACTAATTACCAATTGAACTTTATAAACCATTATTTGTTATTAATCAAAATCTCAGGTGTTAGAAATACAATTTTATTTACGCCATAAAATCGGTCTTAATCAAGTTCAAATTTCTACCGGTAGTTAGTAAAATTTACGAGCTGAACATGGACGATACAAATTGTTTTTCAATGCAAAAATGAAAAAAAATAGGTATTTTTTTCATCGGTTATTCAATTCAGTGCATGTATATCCCTTAGTATTCTTGCTATTCATAATGTTATTCATGAAAAGAGAAACAATAATAATATACAGAAACTGAATTTGCTGATTCCATCTGATTGGTAGTGCCTTCATCAAAGTGTCACACTTGGGTACTTGCAAGATCCATAACCTTCAAAAAGAAAAATTGTACAAAGTATGGATCAAAACTAATTTAAATTAACCATAAACTACTTTATTTAAGTCATTTGTAAATATAATACTTATTGACACAACTAATTTTTAAGTCCTGTTTTTTTAAATTGTAAAGTACTTTCAGAAACTAAAACAATTTTGTTAATATCTATGTCTAAGAAGGAAGTTTAAAACTTGAAAAATATAGTTGTATAAAGAATTAAAAAAAACTTACTTGGATCCTTTGCAGTTTGGGTGGCAAGACCGTTGAAATTACAAGTTCCACCCACATGTCTAAACTGTGCCCAATAAGAACTAAACGCAAAACTAGCATGACCCACCACCGAATCGGGTTTAAAACACGGTTTCCCGGGTTGAACCGAATCACACGTATGACAACGCCTCCACCACCGCGGTCTCATTTGCTCCCTCTGCCACCACACACCACACCTTCCCTTTATAATCCTCTGCTGGCGGCAATGTCTTAAACTCTGACTCTAGACTCTTGCCAGAAAGGTCAATCTCATAAATATTCGATCCATTTGGGTATAATAACCCGAAGTGACGCTCTGTCCCCGAACCTGGTTTCAAATTTTCATTAAACAAAGCAAATATAAATGCTGGTAGAACCAAACACGGTCGAGCTGGTGTCCCGTAGGAGGTTTTTTGGTAACTTTCTTCACAAAGTTTCTATTATATGTCGCAGCATTGTGAATATTCGCACCGATTTGATCCAAGTCACCACCATTAGGCCAACCCGTTTCAGCAATAAAGATCCGAATACCCGGAAATCCTAGCCGCTCCATGGCAAAATAAACCGCATCCACCATTTGATCAAATAAATTAGTATAAACCAAACCCGTATTTGGATCCGTAACCGTGATATTATCCGATTCAAAAAGAGCATAATTCAATTTAATATTAACAGGATCTGAAGTCCAAGCAAAAAACGGATAAACATCCAAGAAGAAAAAAGAGTTTGTAACATGTAAGAACTCCAACATGGGTTTAATAACACTAAACGCAATGTCATCTCTAAAAGTTCCATTTGAAGGTGGAAATGATGTTTGTAAAACATCCATTGCTGAAGTGGTTCCAACTTTGATTTTATGCAAACCAAATATAGTTAAGGAGTGTTTGATTCGGTGCATGGCTGGTACAATGTGAGGCCATGTTTCGTTTGATGTTGAGGAAATGAGTTCGTTACCAACGAGAAGATAACGAATGAGTGTTTTTGGATAAAATGGTACGAGGTTTGATTGGATCCATTCGTTTGAGAGTGTTTGGTTTAAGGATATGAATGGTCATTGGAAATAATATTTATCATAGCCACAGTTTTAATTATTATTTGATTGCAACTGATGAATTGGATGTATGTGGCTGCAGAAGTTTGACTTAAGAAGGGGATGATGGCAAATGGAATTGGAGTGCTTCTCTGTGTTAAAGAATAATAATTAAATAACCATATGTTATGAAAAAAATAAGCAAAATTACACCGATGTCATTTATGTTATTTTATTTTAATAGGTTTGATTATTTAAATCACTTTTATAATAAATTATTTCGTTAAACATCGTTATTTTTTTTTAAAAAGTTAATTCTAAAATAAATGTAACATCAACATTGACTAGGTGACAGTAACGGTGTTGACATGATTTTTTTTTTTACATTTAAATAATTACTTAAACTCAAATACATCGTCAACAATATCTTTATAAAAAACATAGTACAACAAAATTCCATCAAACATAAACTCAAACACACCATACTGGAAGCTAGGGATGTAAATGAATACCTACAAAGACGGATAATATAATATTCATGTTCATCTCGTTTGATAAATATGATATTCTTATCCGTTCCATATCCATGCAGATATCTGTTAAATAGATATCAACAGATTTTAAGATACCCGCAGATATTTAGGTAGAGATATTCATAAATAACATTTTTTTATAATAATTTTTTGAAAAAATATATTCAAAAAAACACAATTATTATCACATAATATTCATATAATTTACTCTTAATTTAACAATAAAATTTCAGATATTAATTTTCTTCCTCTTCACCAAAACATAATAACATTCAAACATAATATTGATACATTTCATTTGTAACCAAATCAAATTAAAGATATTGTGATTTTGAATTATGGTGAAAGAGCGACGACGAAGGAATATAAAGAAAAGTACAAGTTGGACAGAGGAAGGATCTTATTGATTGGTTAAACGGTAACATTATTTTAGTAAGATATAGAGTATAGAAGAAATTTAAATATAAAACAGTTAAGTGTGAAAGGTTTTCCTTAAAAAAAAATTTATAAAAGTAAATAAAAATATTTGAATATTAATTTTTTTAAATGAAAAGAAAGTGTATATCTATTAAAAAATAAGTATTTAAATATTAATTTATTTTATCTATAAATATTCATTAAATTATCTGTATCTGTCTCATGTATGTGACAAGAAAAAGTATTTTTGCCATCCCTATTGGAAGATCATCGTTCATACTAGAATGTTCAGAAATCAATCCAAAATAGGGAAACTTGTCCCACTTCTCCAACAAGCAGCAATAAACTCTTCTCGAAAACTCAATCGACGATGTTCTTGTCTCCTTCGTTTCTCCGCTCCCACTGAGAAAGGTAGACTTGTTAGAGAAGAAAAAGTAGAATGTAAAGTAAATGCTATTAAAGCTATTGGGTTTTGAGGCCGAGATGGAAAAAGGTCTTCCACCTATTGCTTCTAATAAACCGATTCTAGATCTAATTTGGGAACATATTGCAATGAAAAATTGATAATTAAAGGTGGTGTTGGTCCTTTTTTGAAACTTGTTAGAGAAGAAAAAGTAGAATGTAAAGTAAATGCTATTAAAGCTATTGGGTTTTGAGGCCGAGATGGAAAAAGCGTTGATGTTATTAGGTTTGAAAAAAGGATTCTCGAAAGAAATCTTGCTTGTTCCATCGTAAATAGCTACGCTATTTTGAAGGTGTGGCGGCGGAAGAAACTCAAACTTCAATAGTAAAAAAATTCAGAATTTTAGTGGAGAAAAAAAATAATGAAACCAATTTTTTCTTCTCTCATCATAAGCTACGTCTCAAATTTAATGTGAGAGACACAATTTTAAGTTGACTGTTTCGTTTCATTTCATACCAGCACACAATTTTAAGTTGACTGTTTCATTTCATATCATCACATGACACCTTAATGTCACATATTCATTTTTGGAACGGATTTTTTTAAAAAAGATAATGGTGTAGATGTTAAGTAACTTAAATAAGTGATTTGTTAAAAAAAAACACTTAAAAAACCTAACATGTTATAATAAAATAACTTAAATGACGCCGGTGTAATTGACTTAAAAGAATATATTTATTACTACTAGTATCTTTAAATTTCCAGATATTTTTTTAAAGCATAAAAAAAGCATTTCTATACATCTAAAATTATGGTAATAGAATACTTTTTCTTCTTTCCAATTCTTAAGAAACAAAGAAAACCAAACTCTCTTCTTTCAAACACAACAAAGGTTTTTGACAACATAGATTATTACAAATATTGGTCTACATGTGTTGGAAACGTATTATAATTTTCAAATAATAACTGATAGTAATGCAAGATATGAAATTGAAGAGATAAATTATTGGAGAACTAAAATGAAGCTACAACCCGTGAATATAAATACCTGTAATTACATTGTTAGGATGGAACTACAAGGTATAAAACAGTGATTATGACTTGTTTGTAAATTGCATAAACATGATAATCAACTCATTTTCCTTGATAAAGGCAAGATGCACAACAAATTGTCAGAAAAATTGAACATACTAACAGCTATTTCTAAGAAATAACAACAAAATTTTAATTACATCATTTGGGTGATCAAAAGTTACACCTAGATTATATAAAGTGGAAAAAATGTGAACCGGCAGGTTGAACTACAAAGGCAAAAATAGGCCATTAGAAGTATTCAACATGAAAAGGTTTTTTATAGAACTGCAGTAAAAGAGATGATGAAACCACACTAAGAGAAGATGCAGCCATGCAAGCACCAGCAAGCCATGGTGGCAATCTGATTCCGGTAAACGGGTACAGAACACCAGCAGCAATTGGCATGCCTAAAATGTTGTAACCAAGAGCCCAAATGTAGTTCAGTCTGATACGAGACATGGTCTTTCTAGAGAGATCTATGGCCGTAATCACATCTACCAAATTGCTTTTGACCAAAACTATATCAGCTGCTTCTATAGCCACATCAGTTCCAGCACCTATAGCCATACCGACATCAGCAGCAACCAAAGCCGGAGAGTCATTTATTCCATCACCTACCATTGCCACAGTCATTCCCTTCATCTGTATCCAGTTTAATTGAAAAATCAGAAATCAGAAAGTGTTTGTATTTTTTTCAGATTATCAAGATGTGTTAATTACATTAGTTCATCATATCAGATTGAAAAGAAAAAAAAAACTGGTTATTGCATTGATTTTCATATAGCTGGCTCAGAAGCTTTACCTGCAATTCTTTCACCTTATCAGCTTTGCTTGCCTACTGGATCTGTCTCAGCAAAGACCTGGTCAATACCAACTTCATTTGCAATAGCAGTTGCAGTAGCATGGTTATCTCCGGTCACGATGACGCTTGTGATACCCATGGAGCGGAGAAATGATATAACACGTTTAGCCTCTGGCTTTACCGGATCAGATACGGAGAATGCTCCAGCAATCTTTCCATTAATTGAAACTAAAACACAAGTTCTAGCCAGGTTCTCGTTTTCAGAGATGTACTTTTCAGCCGCGGAAGATATTTTAACGTTACAAGCATTCATGAGTCTCCTGTTTCCAACTAAAACTGTTCTATCACCAACTTTTCCACTTACCCCGGCTCCCATGTGTACCTCAAAATCAACAACATCTGGCACTTCCTCAGGGCAAGAACCGAACTTCTTGCGAAGATTTTTTGCATGCGCCACAACAGCTTTTGCTATCGGGTGTTCGCTATTTGCCTAAAAATGTTTACATATAATTAGCTTATTTATTATGGGGAAATGTTAATTAAGATATATAGATTGGAAAAAGATGAGAATTGTTCTTGTTTTCCATTTCACAAAACAAAATTGGAACCTGATTGTATATAGCTCTACCAATATTGTATTAGTCGAGTGCAGATAAAAAAAACATGGTTGGGCGGAGAGACTACTTCAAAGGTTGCCAACCAGGTAATCCAACAAACATTCATAGGCAAAGTTGGTGGTTACTTTGTAACTATGATATGGTTAGTAAAAAAATATAGTTCTGTTTATAGCACGATCTAGGGAACTGTAAATATGTTATATCTATAGTGTTATTTGACATCTATCTGCAAGAGGCTGATTCCACTACTCGAACTACAGCAGCAACTACGACCATTGCACCAAGGCTTTCAT